AGGTTCTGGCATGTTTAAGTGTCCGACCGCCCAAGACAGCCCAAGAGGCCTCTCTGGACCGCCTTGAGGCTCTCTTGGAGCGTTTCAGGGCCGTCTTGGGGCCCTCTTGGGGGCTGCTCGGGCTGTCTTGGAGCTATCCAGGAGGCCTCTTGGAAGCCTCTTGGGCCGTCTTGGGTGGTCGGAAACCCGAACAGGCGAGAACCTCCAAAACTTACGGAACATGAGATGGTGTTGGCACCCTCAGGTTCTCCAGGAAGGCCTCTAGGAGCTCTCTCGGGCCGTCTTGGGTCCTCTTTGGCCGTCTTGGGTCCTCTTTGGCCGTCTTGAGGCCCTCGTGGGCTATCTTGAGCCGTCTTGAGTCTCTCTTGACAGGCTCTTCAACTGCCTTGGGCCATCCCGAGCGGTTTTGTTGTCGTCTTGGTTGTCTCAGAAGCCGTCTTAGAGGCCATAATGGCCCTCAGGAGGCCAAAAAGACCGCCAGAAAGCAATTTCAGAAGGAGCGTTTTTCAGGCAGGCGCGCGTCGTTAAGATTCTCCACAACCTCCCGGACAACAGACGAGCATATTCTAACACGCCCACTCTGTGACGGTCCAAGAGATCCAAACGAGGCCCCCAAGACGGCTTAAGGTACCTCCACCCAAGAGACGCCCAAGAGGCCCCAAGACAGCCCAAGAGCGCTCCGAAAGGGGCGAAGATGGCCCCAAGACGGTCCAAGGAGCCTCCCAGACGGCCCAAGAGGCCTTCACGAGCACTTCCAAGAGGAACTCCGGAGGCAAAAACCATTGATTCCCCTAAGGCTTTTTGAGGATTTTGGGGTCCCCGCCTTTTGGGATCGAAACCGGCCACACACGGCCCAGGGGGCCTCCGAGGTCGCCCCCAAACCTGCCCCAGAGGCTCCAAAACGGTCCTGGAGCGCCTCAAGACGGCCTAGAAGAGCCCCAAGACGAGCCAAGGAGGGCCCCACAGAAGCCCAAGAGCCTCCCAGGCAAGCCAGCCCAAGCCCCCCAAGACGGTCCAAGAGGGCCCTAGAAGGCACCCAACCGGCCCAAACGACCTCCAATAGGCCGCCAATAGGCCTCCTAGAGGCACTCCGAGATGCCTCCAAGAGCCTCTGACGAGGCCTCACCAGAGCGAACCGTGCCGTCAAACGCTCTGACTTCCAAGGCTCCTCGGAGCTGACGGTGACATAACAACTCCGATCACCACGGCGGCCGTTTTACCGCGACTCGCACCCCAGCTTGCTCCAACAAGCATGCATGGCAATCCGTATGTCCAAATCGCTGCCGCGTAAACGGCCGCCGAACCCCCGAGACCGTGTGACATGTGCGGTCCACGGACCCGCTCTTTCCGTTCCCGTGCCGGCCCAGGTTCTAACGCGCCCACTCCGTGCAGGCACGGCGGCGGATCATTATTTCGCGCCTCGGTGGTGCCGCGCGGCCACAGGCACTGTGCGCAAGGAGCTGTCCACAGGATTCATGACCCTCCCTGGTCCCCCCCTCCCTCCGTCCCTGGCCTCTCCCCTCCCCGGCCTCTCGCCTCCCTCCCTCCGTCCCTTCCCGGCCTCTCCCCTCCCTCCGTCCCTCCCTTGCCTCCCTCCCTCCGTCCCTGGATGTGCGTCCCGGGCGCCGGTGCTCTCCTCCTGCGGCGAAGCGGCGAAGGGGAGCTCTCCCGAGGGTCAGAGCCCGAGGGGGAGAGCGCCCCGCTCGGGGAAGCTCGGGCGACGAGTCGCAGCTCCTCCTCCTCCTCTTCCTCCTCCTCCTCCTCCTCCTCCTCCTGCCCCTGCTCCTGCTCCTCCTCCTCCGCCTCCTCCTCCTCCTCCTGCTCCTCCTCCTCCGCCTCCTCCTCCTACCCTCTTGCATCAGCCGCTGAACCTCTCTGGGAGGTCCGATCGCGCGAAGAGAGAGGGAGGGAAGGGGCTGGAGCAGAGAGGGGAAGGGGGCCATGGTGAGGGAGGGCTCCGGGGCAGCGAAGTCAGGCGATCGAACACATGGATCGAGGGGGCGTGGATTGGCGACGCGTCCCGTCTCCATGGGAGATCGCCAGATTTCCGCCGCCGAGCGAGGCGGCACCGGCTGCATTTTGGGGGAGGGCACCTCCCCCGATCCACGGCTTTGGCGGCCGCGCGCCAGGTCCACGGATCGCCAATCCGTGTCTGCGCGCCCCCGACCTCGAGGCCATCCGCCAGCACCTCCCTCCCCTCCTGGGCGTCCGGTGGGCCGGGGAGGCCGCCGAGGCCGAGCTGAGGTCGCGCGTCGGCTGGGCCTGCAAGAAGGCGCGCCGCCCCGGCCCAGCGTGCCACGGCCGAGCTGCCGGGGGGAAGGCTCTTCGCGGGCCCCCCGAGGGGCCAGCACGCCGCGAGCAGTCGTGCACGGGCACCCCAGCTCCTTCAGGGAGCGCGGCGGTGTGCAAGCCGCGGGCTCGCCGCGGTGATTTGCACCCCGCCGCCCTCCCACGAGGCGCAGAGGGGCGATCGGCGGCTCAAGCATGGGACCCTGAGGGACGAGGCCCAAGCTTGGACTTGCACTGGTTGAGGCCCCTCGCTCTCGTGGCCCCATCCCTCAGGACCCCATCGCTGCACCACCACCAAGGTGAGCTGCCCCTCCCCCCCTTGGACCCCACCGAGACCCCGACCCCTCCGAGGCCCCGCGGAGACCCCGCCGAGACCTCCGAGACCCCGCCGAGACCTTTACCGAGACTCCACCGCGATCCCAGCGAGACTTTTGCCGGGGCCCCACCGACCGAGACCCCACCGAGAAGTCGCCGCCGAGACGCCGCCGAGGCCCACGGAGGCCCAGTCGGGGCCTCGGGGCCTCATCGGAGGCCCACGGCGCCCCGCAGGGGGACGCGCCGCGCCGGACGACCGCAGGACCTGGGGCGTCTCTGTGACGCAGCGGAGTGTTTTGGAGTGCGCGTGTCTGGCGTGTGCGCGCAGAGCTGGCCAGTTGGGGGGGTCCTGGGCAGGGATCAACGATGGCAGCCAGGCGGACTTCGCTTGGATCTCGATGCGACTATTGGCCTGACCCCGATCAGGGTTTCCTCCTGAGTCCTGAACGTCGCCGAAAGAGACAGAGGGAGATGGGGCGGAAGGGGGAGGGGAGGAAGAGGGGAGGGGAGGGCGAGAGGCGAAGAGGAAGAGGGACCAGGATGAAAAGGGGTTGGGAGGTAGAGGAGCGGGGAGCAAGAGGGGTCGGTATGAAAAGGGGTTGGAGCCTGTTTTTCTTTATATCCAAGCAAGCTTACTTGCATGGCGTTCGCCCCCCCCCCCCTCGCCCCTCTTCAATCGAACACGAGCGTGCAAGCGCCTTTCGACTTGCGTGATTTCCGCACGTCGAATTGTTTTCGGCTTGCTTCAGACTCAGCCCCCCCCCCCGTCCATGCAAGTAAACTTGCCCGAATCCAAAGAAAAACAGGCTCTTGGGAGGACCAGGGGCGGGGGTAAAGAAGGGTGGGGATGAACCGGGGTTGGGAGGAAGAGGGGCGGGGAGGAAGAGGGGGGAGGAGCAGGGCAGGCGCGAATCCAAGACGCATCAACGGAAGGTCCCTGACATAATTTAATGTCATTGCGGGAAGTGGCCCATTAGAAGACAACCGTTTAAGAATCTTCCATCGTGGCAAGACAGCGTTCCTCGGGTTCCGACGCCGCGGATCAACGTGGGAATAATGCTTTGGCAATCCCGAATCGCACCAGAACGCCATTCTTGGGACTTCATCACCGCGAATCAGCGTGGCTGCTGCGCCCTGACAGACCCAGGCCGCGCCAGCATAGCATGCCTGGGACTTCGGCCACACGACTCCTTAGAAAGCGGCTGCAGAGGTGCAAGGCGAGGAGGGGCTGAGCTGAGGCGACAGCCACGCTCTGGTAAGGAGCTGCCCTCCATCCCTGCAGCGGCGGCAAGCTTTGAGGACGAACGTCCGCGGGGCTGGAGCAGCATGTTGAAAGTCGCCCGCCCTCCATCCGTGAACCTGTCGCAAGCTGCAGTCGGGGCTCTGAAGAAGGATTCCTTTTCGTTTGGCAGGGGCTCAGTGTTCCTTAGTTGTTTTGCAGCTCGACTTAGGTCTTCCTTAGGTCTTCGATCGGAATTCGAAGCTTAACTTATGGAAACAAGGGGGCTCGTTCCTTATTTAGGGTTCCTTAGGTCAACGCCCCGATTGTATCGGGGCGACTGTGCGCGGCAGGCTGCAGCGAGGGCCACACGTTTCGAAGAGGTTCCGCCCTCACTCCGCGAAGCTGCCACAGATTCGTACGACGAAGTTGTGCGCGGCGCTTAAGGCGACAGCCACACGTTGAAACGAAACGCCCTCCATCCGTACAGTTGCTTCGCATTTCGAAGACGGATGTGCGCGGCGCTGAGGCGACAGCCACATTTTGAACACCACCCGCCCTTCAGCCGTGACAGTGTCGCACACTTTTCGGACGAAAGTGCGCAGTCCTAAGGGGAGAGCCGCATGTTGAAGAGGTCGCGCTCTCCATCCGTACAATTGCTGCACATATCAAGCTTCCAGGTCAACAATGGCGAGGATGTCATGCGAAACAGCTGGCCAGCCCTGTTGACACGCCTGGTGGTGCGACGAACAGGAGTAACTTATAAAGGGAAATGGATGGAGCAGAGACAGCAGCAGTATAAGCTCATCGGGGGGAGGAGGAAGAGGAGGAGGACGAGGAGGAAGATGAGGAGGAGGAGGTTCTTGTTGTTCACCGCGGGGCTTCGCAGAGAGCGTGCTCGATCTTAAAGTGGATGGAGACGAGGAGGAGAATGGAGGGAGGGAGGGGGGGTCGGGGAAACTAATAGAGAGGGAGGAGGCGGACGAAGATGGGAGGAGAGGGAAGTGGAGGAGGAGGAGGAGGAGGAGGAGGACAATATACAACGGAGCGGCGGGCACTGGAGAGGCATCGGGCGGCGGCGGCGGCGGCAACGGCGTCAGCAGCAGGAGGCGGGGGCCAGTCCAGTGACGCCACCTTCCCGCCCTGGGTCTGGCGGTCGGCAGAAGGGAGGGGGAGAGGTGGAAGGAGATGGGAATTAGTGAAGAGGAGGAGGAGGAGGAGGAGGAGGACAGGGAGGATGACAGGGAGGAGAAGAAGAGAGAGGAGGAGGAGGAGGAGGAGGAGGAGGAGGAGGAGGAGGAGGAGGAGGAGGAGGAGGAGGAGGAGGAGAAGGAGGAGGAGGAGGAGGAGGAGGAGGAGGACGGTGTGCAGGACGAGGAGGAGGAGGAGGAGAAGCACGGTGTGGAGGAGGAGGAGGACGAAGAGGAGGATGATGATGAGGACGAGGATGCGAAGAGTAGGGTCAGGCGTTCCTCAGGGGGACCTGCTTGGGGCCACTTAACGTGTCTTGTTCGAATGTAGTTCGACTCCAGTTCGACTCTAGCTCGACTCTGGCTCGACTCTAGCTCGACTCCAGCTCGGCTCAAGATCGACTCCTGCCGACGGGCGTTCGACGCAGCATCGACGCATGAACGGACCGCGTGGCTCCCGGAAGGTCCCAAAACAAACATCTAAACTTGGGGACTGCGCACAGTGAGGTGCTCTGCGGGGAAGGCGGGGTGAGCTGGGCAGGCTCTTGCAAGAGCGTGCTGGGTCGTGCGAAGATCTCCTTACATTCGTGTGTTCTCTCGCTGATCTTCTTCAGTCGAGGAAGCGCAAACATGGACTAGGGGGCATGGGTTAGTGGCGGATCCCGTTCCCGCACAGTGGAAACCAGTGCCAAGAAACACCCCGCTTGCCTCCAGGGTCCCCTGGGTTTCTTGGGTTTCGATGCTTTTGCGATGGAAAGCGTGACGTTCCCACACCAAGAATCAATGGACTTCCTGGGGTCCCAGGGTTGGGTTTCTTGTGGAAGGTTCCTTGTGGTCGAGCTCCGATTTTACGCAACCGGCGCGCGCCGTCGCCTAGTGAGGCGGCCTTGGCCCCACGGTTCGGGGAGCGTCTTCTCGGATCCGTGGATTTGGCGTCCACGCGCCAGGTCCACGGATCCGCAATCCATGTTGGCGTGTGCTCGACTCAGGGGCTTGCCGGTTTGATCCAGGCCTCCCAGGTGGGGTCAGAGTATAGATGGGGTAGAAGGATCGTGCCGCGTGGAAGATGCATCGACGATGCGGCTCGATGCGGAGCTCGATGTTCTCCACGCCAGCATCGCCGATGGATGGCCAATGTATCGGTGATGCATTGACGATGCGGCGCGATCCTCCTACCCCATGTACTCGGACCCCAACTAGGAGGCCCCTACTTGAGCTCCCACTTGTGGAACATGGTTTTGGAACCGCTGAGCCCAGAGTCTAGCGAGGCCGAGCGGCGGCAGTGTCCCCAAGACCCCCCTTCGCGCAGGCGTTGGGACGGGCCTGCCGCGGCGATGGCAGCGGCGACGGCGACGGCGGCGACGGCGACGAAGAGAGGCCCGGCCGACGACGAGAACGACGACGACGAGCCTGGACGATTCCGACGACGACGACGACGAGCCTGGACGAAGACGACGAACCTGGACGATGACGACGATGACGACGACGACGACGAGCCTGGACGACGGCGACGACGACGACGGCGACGGCGACGGCAACGGCGGCGACGGCGACGAAGACAGGCCCGGGCGACGACGACAACGACGACGACGAGCCGGGACGATGACGACGATGACGGCGACGACGACGAGCCTGGACGACGACGGCGACGACGACGACGACGACGACGACGACGACGACGACGACGACGTAGACGACGACGGCGACGGCGACGGCGACGGCGACGGCGACGGCGGCGACGAAGACAGGCCCTTGCGACGACGACAACGACGACGACGACGAGCCTGGACGATTACGACGACGACGAACCTGGACGATGACGACGACGACGACCTTGGACGATGACGGCGACAACGGCGACGGCGTCGACGGCGACGAAGACAGGCCCGGGCGACGATAACGATGACGACGATGAGCATGGACGATTACGACGACGACGAGCCTGGACGACGACGACGAGTCTGGACGACGACGACGACGAACCTGGACGACGATGACGACGGCGACGGCGACGGCGGCGACGGCGACGAAGACAGGCCCGGGCGACGACGATAACGACGACGACGAGCCTGGACGATTACGACGACGACGACGACGACTACGAGCCTGGACGACGACGAGCCTGGACGACGACGACGAACCTGGACGATTACGACGATTTCGACGACGACGACGAGCCCCGACGACGACGACGATCCTGGACGATGACGACGATGACGATGGCGACGAAGACAGGCCCGGGCGACGACGATAACGACGACGACGAGCCTTGACGATTACGACGGTGACGACGAGCTTGGACGACGACGACGAACCTGGACGATGACGACGATGACGACGACGAGCCTGGACGAGAACGACGATGACGACGACGACGACGGCGACGGCGGCGACGACGACGAAGACAGGCCCGGGCGACGACGACAACGACGACGACGACGAGCCTGGACGATTACGACGACGACGACGACGAGCCCGGACGACGACGACGAACCTGGAAGTAAACGACGATGACGACGACGACGATCCTGGACGACGACGACGACGACGACGAGCCTGGACGACGACGACGACGACGGCGACGGCGTCGGTGACGGTCCTGGACGACGACGACGACGACGACGAGCCTGGACGACGACGACGACGACGGCGACGGACGTCGGTGACGGTCGACGACGACGAGCCTGGACGATTGACGACGACGAGACGTCGACTACGCCTGACGACGACGAGCCTGGACGATGACGACGACGATGATCGACGACGACGAGCCTGACGACGACGACGACGACGACGACGACGACGACGACGACGACGACGACGACGACGACGACGACGACGACGACGACGCGACGACGCGACGGCGACGGCGACGGCGACGGCGACGGCGACGGCGACGGCGACGGCGACGGCGACGGCGACGCGACGGCGACGGCGACGGCGACGGCGACGGCGACGACGACGACGACGACGACGACGACGACGACGACGACGACGACGACGACGACGACGACGACGACGACGGCGGCGGCGGCGGCGGCGGCGGCGACGGCGACGACGACTGCGACGGCGACGGCGGTGACGTCGACCTTCGCCCCAAGCATTTCGGCACTACTATTTTCGCCTTTCTCTGGGCCTCTGAGGGCGTTTACGGTCGCCGCGGTCTGATCCGCCTCGACATGTTGGTGAGGACGCGTGCCAGAGTAGATGGGGTCGGAGGATCGCGCTACATCGACTATGCCTCGGGGGTGCGGCTCAATGTGGAGCCCGACTCTCTCCACGCCGACGTCGGCGGTGCATCGCCGACGTCGCCGATGCATCGGCGATGCATCGCCGCTGCGGCTCGATCCTCCGACCCCATCGATGTACTTCGACCCAACTGGGAGGCCTCGAGATGACGGCCGTGGGGTACCGTGCTCGCCAGGAGGCGCCGGACCGAGCGGCTTCCAGCAGCGACGTCGCAGGAGCGCCTCCGGGCGAGGCGCCCGCGCGGGGGAGGGCGGCTCGGAGCGCCTCCCCTCCCAGGGGCAACCTTAGGGGCGGGGGGTTGGGGGACGTTTTTGATGTCTTCAGGCGTTTCGCGGGGTGGTGGTGGACGTCTTCGAGTTTTTCATGCGTTTTTCGAGTTTCCTGGCGGCTTTCCGGCCTCGGGGTGCTCTACAGCAGCCGCGCCTCGCGGAGAGCGCTCCAAGGGTGCCCGGATCGTCCCGGACGGCCGCCGGAGACGGGGCTATGATCCGAAAATTGAGCGACGAGGATCACAAGGGAGGGCAGTAATTATATTTGTTGGAAAAAATCCCGGGGAGGCTTGTCCACAGAGGGGTTGTCTGGCGGGGTTGTCCAGGTCCCGGCCGGTCTGTCCAAGGGACTGGCCAGGGTAGGTCGCTTTGTCGTCGTGGATCAGCATGGGTTGTCCGGGATGTCCTGGGGGGGCGCCCGGTGATTTGTGTTTGGTGGGATCGTTTCCCATCGGACATACAGTCGGTCCGAGGTATAAGATCGAGGTTGGTTCGGGGAGGTTACCCTCGTGTTCTTCGTGTTTGTTGGGTGTTCTTGTGCCTCCTGGGGAGGGTGCCCTTGGATGTTCTGTTAGTTTTGGCCGACGGGGGGTCTCATGTTCTTGAAGGATGTTCTTCTGGCCTAGGTCCGACTGTAAGTCGGCTCAGGGAAGAGTGTATCGACCCCGAAATCGCCCGTTGGTCGCCGCTGGGGCCCGAGGGCCCGCCCCACCCGGGAGCGTTCGCATTCGCCATCGGGCACCACCGATCCATCGGCGATGCATCTCAGGAGCGCAAGCCACGCGCAGGAATCCACGTCATGTGGTTTCGATAGTACGCATCGCGCGAGCGCTCATATTTTGCGGCGGATCGGGGGGCCGTGTTCATGTACGTGGTTGGGCGCGTACCCTTTATGCGGGCTCCCTAGTTTCGGCGATTCCAGGTCCACGGTTGCCCCCCCTCAGCTGGTCCCCCCGCATCGTTGCCCGTCGTCAACCTGGCGCGCCGAGGCGGAGGTGACGGAGGGGGCATGCCTTCTCGGAAGGCGGCGGGACTTCGGGGAGGCTCAGGATGCTTCTCACAAGGTCGGGGGTGGACAGAACCCCCAATAGTGACACGTCGATTAGTGAATTGTCCGTCTTCGGTTTTCGAGAGGGCGCCGTGGCCGTTATTTTCCAGGCTTGCGCCCGCCACGTTTGGGCCCGAGGTCGTTTTCACTAAACCACGTTTTCCCAAAGGGAGGTCTGTCCATCCCCGAGAAGGCCATCTCTTGAGCCTCTGAGGAGGCCCACTCCCCCCCCCCTCTTGGGTGCGCCGCCGACTTTTGGCATTCGGGTCATAACTCGGGCCGCCGGGGGCCGCTCGGGGCGATCCTGGCACCCCTCCTCCTCCCCCTCCTCCCCCTCCCCCTCCTCCTCCTCCTCCTCCTCCTCCTCCTCCTCCTCCTCCTCCTCCTTCCTCCTCCTCCTCCTCCTCCTCCTCCTCCTCCTCCTCCTCCCCCTCCTCCTCCTCCTCCTCCTCCTCCTCCTCCTCCTCCTCCCCCTCCTGCGGCGGCGGCGGCCCCTCGGCGGCGAGGCGCAGGTGCTGGCTGGGTAGTCGAAGGCCAGACTGTCAGATTGGATTGGGCTCCGCGGCCCAATCTGGCCTGGCCAAACTGGAGGATTTGGGTTATTCGCCAGACTGGATTCGCGTTGGCTCCCTCGCCAGATTGCCCCCGTTTGCCAGATTGGGCCTGCCAGATTGGCGCCAGATTGGCTTCGACTACCCAGGCTGGAAAGCACCCCGAGGCTGGAAAGCTTCTGGCAACAGGCGAACGCGTCAGAAAGCGTCGAACTTACAGGCGGCCTGCATTAGCAGGTCGACCCCGCCAGCTCAAGGGTACCCCTGTGTCCCGTGCCTCGCGACGCGTGCCTTCTGACACTCCCAGGGCGCTGTGGCCCTCGGAAGGGTCCTGTGTCCTCTCGCGTGTCCTGTCCAATCAAGGCCGACTGTACCCACCGGTCGTTGAAAGTAGGTATTTTTGGATTCCCAGATTCCAATCTACTTTCAGCGCCTTCCTACTTCAAGAGTCGAGTGGTTTTCCCTCCTCCTTCCTCTCTTCAGGAGGCGGGCGGAAACCCAATCCATTTCCAACGCCTTCCTACTTTTTGTTTCTACCTACACCTTAAGCGATGCTTAAGAAAACCCAAGTTTTCGGCCAGAGTCTCGATTATTCTTAATGTTTCAATGTGAATCCCAAGAGTTTGATAGAAGTTTTGGGTTTTATTCAAGTTCTGGGACTATGAATTTCTTCACCCATGATTTCTTAAGCATTTCGCAGGGTGTACTTCTTCCGACCGATGGGTACCCCCTTCTGCTTTCCCGCCCGGGCGCGCCGAGTGCGTCCTCGGCGGCCGGCCCTCCCTGGCCCTGCCTTCTCCTGGCCTGCGGCGTCGGCCTCTTCCTCCTCCTCCTCCTCCTCCTCCTCCTCCTCCTCCTCCTCCTCCTCCTCCTCCTCCTCCTCCTCCTCCCTCCGAGGCCGCTCTCCGTGCGCCTGCCGGCCCCGCCTCCGTGCGGGCCTTCCCGGACCGCGCGCATCGTGCACCCCACCCTCCACACCTGGGAGCAGGAGGAGGAGGAGGAGAATAAGGCGAATACGAATCATAGTAAGAGGAAAAAGGCGAATACGAATGGTACTAATGGTAATAATGATAATGATAATGTCAATGATGATAATAATAATAATAGTAATAATAATACTACTAGTAATAACAATACTAATAAGAATCATACTAATAGTAGTAGTAGTAGTAGTAATAATAATAATATTAATACTAATCATAATAATAATAATAATAATAATCATAATAATAATAATAAAATAAAAATAATATTATTATTAATAATAATAACAATAACAATACGATCAATACGAATAATGGTAATAATGATAGGAATAATAACAAGAATAATAAGGAACACAATAAGAAAACGCAGAAGAAGAAGAGGAGGAGGAGGAGGAGGAGGTGCGTTAAGGAGCCTGGCCCCGACACGCGATGTTGTGCCCTGGGGGAGGGGACCCCCGGCAAGCGCCGGTCGACCCGCCGCCGCCGCCGCACCGACCGACGTCGGCGATGCATCGGCGATGCACCGGCGATGCACCGGCGATGCATCGTCGACGTGGGCGACGCATCGGCGACGTCGGCGTGGAAAACAAACATTGAGCCCCACCGCGAGCCGCATCGGCGATGCCTCGGCGCTGCGGCGCCAAATGTCTCACACGCCGCGTCACCCCCAGCGAGCGGCGGTCGGCGGACTCCTGGGCGGTCACCCCGCCGCCTTCACAGGCGTTCCACGGCACGGTTGCGACGGTGGCCCTCCAGGCAACAGAGGCAATACTGGCAGCAGACGTGCAGTCCTCAGGAGGGGGAAAAACACACAGACACGATTAATCGTCGATTCCCAGAAAATATGGGAAAATATGGGAAGTGAGGGGGAAGACAAAACCCAGAAAATATGGGAAAATATGGGGGATATGTTTATTTGTGTGTATTTATTTGTGTGTCTCAGTTCCCTTCAAGTCCACCAGCAGGGCACTGAGCCCACACATTGGGGCCCCGACTCGTAGGGGGCAGGCTCTGGTGGCCCCGGGGCTATCGTCCCGTGTGCAACCACCATGGGAGATCGCGGATGACTGTCCCCACCTAGTGCAATTCTTGACGCTTTGCGAGAGCCTCTTGCAGCCTGCATGGTTTTTTATTTGAGAGCCTCTTGGATGCCTCTTGGGCGCCTCTTGGGGCCGTCTGGGCACCTCGTGGAGCCCTCTTGGGGCGCTCTTGGGAACTTGAGGGGCGCTTTGGGGGCCATCTTGGAGGACATCGATCAAAAAAGATGGGAGCTTCAATGAGCCTCCCCCCTCGGAAGCCCCAAACATCGCCTCTTGGGGCGCTTTTGGAGTGCTCTTGGGCGCTCTTGGGGCCGTCTTGGGCCTCTCTTGAGCTTCTCTTAGGGCCCTCTTCGGCCACCTTGGAGCCGTCTTGAGACCTCGGATGGCCATCGGAAACGAAAAGGCGAGAAAGCAAGCATCATTGATTTTCTTGGTTTTGTAAGGATTTTGGCTTTTTCGGGGCTTCATTGGGGAGCTCTTTGGCCACTTGGAGCCGTCACGGAGCGTTCTTGGGGCCTCCAGGAGCATCTTTGGAGCCATCTTGAGGCATCTTGGGCTATCTTGAGCCATCTTGGAGGTCATCCTGGGCTCTCCGAGGCCCTCTTGGAGCCGTCTTGGGCCATCTTAGACGCTCCAACCCCCTCACCACCACCCCCGTCTAGGTCCAGGGGAGGGGGTAGGGAGACGGGTCAAGTTAGCCAGCTCGAACGAACCAAAGGGCTCCGTCCACTCCCACCCGCCCCCCCACAAAAAAAGAAGCAAGTGCGTCGCGTCCGACGCCTGTCGCTCATCTTATATCGTGGGCGGGTAGACGTTCAGCGCGCGACATGAGCTGCGTCCTATTCCTGCCGCGTATTGAGTAACGTCGACGAGAAACAAGGACGCGCGCGATGTACGCCGCGCCCCGCTCCGGCCTGTCATGTTGCACCGTCGGCGACAACATGTCAAGCGCGCGAAGTGCGCCGCGTCTCATTCCAGCCACGCGCGTTGCACCGCCAATCTTATCGCTCCTGCCGCGCATGGAGGAGGGGGAGGACGAGGAGGAGGAGGAGGGGAGGGAGAGAGGTCTCTTACGTGGACACGACAACGGGCGCGCCGGCGGCGAACCGCACTTGCTTCAAGCATTATGACGTGCCGCCCGCTCAGCTCCTCAACCCGACGGGCCGCAGCGTCGACGACAAGAAAGTCCACGTTGACGAGCACGCGTCCCCGCGCGATCTGCGCCGCGTCCCATTCCCGCTACGCGATTCGCGGCGCCGACGAGGAGAAAGTACATGTTGGCAAGAAAAACGTCGACGTTGCGGTGTTTGTTGCCAGGTAGGACGGGGGGTCCCGCGTAGGGTTGGCCAGGCGTCCGCGCGCGATGTGCGCCGCGTCCCGTTCCTGCTACAGTTTTCGCAGCGTCGACGACGAGACAGTCCACGTTGTCGGGACGCGACCACCCATTTAGGCCACCCAAGCGACGTTCATTCCGTCCCATTCCTGCTGCATTTTTCGAAGTTCGACGACATGTTGGCGAGGAAAAAAATGAGTTTCAACTGTTCTTTGACAGTTCGGACGGCGGGGTTGCTTTCGGCCGGCTAGGGGCTAGGGGGGGTCGGGGGTGTTTAATCATAAGAAGTAAGGGTCAAGATTCCCTCCCCGCCCGCAAGCCGTTTCGCTCACTCCCGCCCGCCCTCCCAACACATACGTCGCACCCGAGTCTGGCCCGAACCTCAGCATATGCAGCTGTCGTCTTTGGATGGAGCTGCCGGGTGCGAATCCGCCGCCGCCGCCGCCGCCCGCCGCCCCCGCTGCCAAATCGCCGCCGCCGTTTCCGCCGCCGCCGCCGCGCCGCCGCCGCCGCCGCCGCCGCTCCAGCCGCCGCCGCCGCCGCCAAGTGTATTCTGTATTGTTGTTTGACTGGGATGGTGGGGGGACGCCGCATCGGTTTGGCTGCGCATGCTCCGAATTTGGAAGCAGAGTGTGTTTTGCATGTTTGTTTTTTTTGCGACGGGTTGGTGGGGGGGGGGGCCTTCATGGTTCCTGGTTGGCTACCAGTCCCCTGGGGGAGTAAGTGTTTACTAATAGGGAACAGTGATCAAGGCACCCTCCAGATAGCAAGCCGTCAAGCTCACCCCCACCAGCCCTCCCAGCACACAGGTAACACCCGAGCCTCAGCATGTTCCGCGGCCGTTTTTCTGATGGACAACTATTGGGAACCAAAACCGAACCCATGTGTGCGACGTTGGGGCGAGGCACGCCACGCGTGCCGTTGGTGCCACGCGCGCCAGGCACCCCTGGGGCCCGAGCGTGTTAGGCACGCCTGGTGCGCCTGATGTTCCCTCCAGCCACGTCCGGGGCACGTGCAGAGTTTGTCAGGTGCGCCTGCGCACGTGACAGCACACATCGGGGAACATGTCGGGCCCCACCATCCCTGTCGAAATCCATTGCCCATCAGTTTGTATGGTGGGCCTGCGCACAGCAGGCCATACGCCACCACCCCCGCCGTCCCTGACAAAAACCACTTGGCAATGATCGCGGGGTGGCCGCGCACTATCCACATTTAGCCGCGAGGTGCATTTTGTATGGTGTGTTTAACAGGGATGATAGCCCTGCGCGCAGCAGGCAATATGCTGACACCCCCGCCGTCCCTGTTGACAAACGATACAAAGTGCCCGCGGGCCTCACGAACATGATTCCGGACTTTGCCCCAAAGTGTATTGTGTATTGTTTTTGACAGGGATGGTGGGGGGGCCCGCATCGGGTTGGTTGCGCATGCCCCGATTTTGGAGGCAGAGTGCGTTGTGTATTGTTTTTTGAAAGGGATGGCGGGGGGGGCCTTCATAGTGTGCACATGGTTCC